AACATTAACTTGTAAGTAAATAAATTGGAAATAATTGAAGTCCTTAATTATAGTTGTATGCATTACGTAAATGTTGTATTAAAATAAGGCATAATATAGTCATGAGTCAAGTGATCCTTTGTATATGAGACTATTAACCAGTGTATATATATGAAGTTATATACTACATAGTGTCGTGGATGCAGCCTTGCGGTAAGGGTCAAATGGCCGGTCAATGGGCCACATTTTTAATACACATATTTATGATATAACATATTTAAATGTATATCATTATTTTGGACTTAACATAGTAATTTTACAATAATTTATTATTCCATTGTATCTCGTATAGCAGTTGATAATGAACTTAAAACATTTATGCTTAATTGATGTCTTATAAAAAAAAACATTTTACAGTGATACTGATTGATGAAGTAATAGAATGTTTTGTGTAAGAAAGAATTTAATTGCTTTTTTTTGCCTTCTGTTGAGTGTTATTTAAGTATAATAAAAATGGCTTCAAACTATGTAGTATAACTTAAAAGTATTCTGTCCACTTCTTAGAACATCACTACCATAAAATACGAAATGAATTATATGTACATACAATGTATTGAAGTTATTGAAGTCAAAAGACTTGAAAAAATCAGTTAGATAGTACAAGCTTGTAAAGTGCATATATGTATTACTTTAAATAAAATAAATACATATATTACTCTAATTATTCCAAAAAAAAAATTTAATTGTGATGAGTCCTTTTACTTCATCTTATAAAAAAAATATTTGGCGACAAACGATTCAAGTGATTTCATCAGCTAGGAAGTTACTCTCTTATATTAAAGAACCACATTTTTGGAAGCCATAACACGAAAAATGCTTGAAAAATATTCAAATGTAACACTTTTGTAATGCCAAATATAAAATTTTCGTGCATCCACGTGTTTTCTCCACAAGTCTTATAAGTAAGGATCTTTATGGTCTTACTCCTACGCTGTAATTTTATTTGTACATAAATAACTTTGCCATTCCAAAAAGAAATAACATTCACTTTCACTATTAACACTAATAATATTTAATTTCAATATTGATTTTCTTAAGCTGTAAATCACGGCTTTATTATGCCAATATCACTTCTAAGCTTGGTACTTGCTTAATGCAGCATCTTTTGATTATCTTATGTACATATGTAAATCAAACTATATTATTGTCATAAGATATATTAGTTACATTATAGTAGTTGTTCTGAAAATTTTCGTAATTTATCCCATCAAGAAATAATAAACATTCATTTAGAGCTAATATTAAAATGATTTAGTTCTGTTTGCCTTGAAGAATACAAATTTATATTATTCACTTAATATTTTGATCTATTAATTGATTCATATTCTTTTAAGCTGGAAGTTTCACAAGCACTTAAAAAACATTCCTTATTATCTTGCGATATCAATATCATTAAATCTCTATCAATCATAACTAATTTGCATTCAATTTTAGCCACAATCTGTCGCCGTATTCGGTGTGACCCGATTGAACAAGTGTTAGTAATAATATCGCAACAAACTTTATAGGGAGAAATAGTTAGTTGATTGGTGATAGATTAATTAATGTGGCTTTTAAGGAGTAACAAAAATAATATTGAAACATATATTAGGATTAGTCATTCACTTAAAGTATTTTACAAGTAATTAAAAGCGCTATTATGCGTATCTATTGTTAACCTGTTGCTTCATATAATTAAGTTTCAAAAGCACTTTTAGTCTGATTATGTTACCCTAAATAGATTTTAACACATTGTTCATATATAGCTGAGACTTCAAAAGATTTTCGTATGCATTATACGCTGCAAGGCACTCTGTATTTGAGACCTTACACAAGTTGCCCCACGGTGATATTGGTATAAATTTCTGTTATTTGAATTCAATCTCTAATATTATAAAATAAGATTGAGAGTCCCTTAAACGTTGTTAGAGCGTGTCGACAACTGAATTTTGTTAGTGTTCGTATAAATTTGCGTTTTACACGCCCGTGTTATTATTTTTATTGGAAGTCTTTGTCTACGGGTCTAGAGAGACGTTTAAAAAAACGCTCGTCAAACACGTTAGCGTGAAGAGAACTAAACCTCATTGTTTCGAAGACCTGATATTGATTCCAGCCGCTGGCAGTTGGTGAGGTTGAAGGTTGCTTAAACAATAAACTACACGCAAATTAATTGCACAATGGCCCCATATGTATTGAACGGTGATATCAAATGACCGGACATAACTGTGTTGTGCATAATACCTACCATGCATACTGATGTTATAAATGTGTGTATTTTTAACCTGGTATTTTTGTGTCAATAATCTTTCATGATACTTATATATACTTTCAAACTGAAGGGTTTTGGGTTCCTTTTTAGAATTGTGAGATTTACCCATTATTTACTTTACCTTACCGATAATAGATGGCGCTACTATACCATTAAACTACGTTAACCGTCAGTTGTTGTTCAGTAGAAATGAGATTTAATTTATATGAAATCAATAAAAAATATTAAATTATCATAACTACATATGATAGTGAGAAGTTGCTTGTATAATAATTTATTAACTTATATAGACAAAGATATAGAAATGTATATCTTTCAGAATACGCTTGAAATATTTTTGAAATGCACAGTTTTTTTAATTGCGGTCGAATCCAACGGTCAGCAGGTTTTAATTAAATGGCCTTTATCATTTGTATATTTGCATGTACAAATAGAAAAGCTAAGAATATTGATTTATAAATTAATTCTTTTATAAAGGAAACAAGGGAAATCATCGGATAAATTATTCATAATATACAATCAATTACAAACATTTATTTAAAGTCCTTGTGAGTACAAGAGAAACCTCGAAATTTGTTTATATAAAACACGCGAGCGTGAAACATCACCTGAAAATGTTCTCATGACCCATTTTTGTACAATGAGATGAGTTACAAATACAATGCCTTAAACGTCGCGCTGCGCTGATCATTGCAAGGGCGCGGTCATACTTACCTGTGACATCTGACATCTGACATTTGACATTTGACGTATGACGTATGACATCTGACGTAATAGGACCTAAGATGTCAACTCATAGCTATTATGTAAACTCTTTTGTCCTCCAAATAATTTAATTTAGATGTAACCTACATATATTTATAGCTTTATTATTTTTATTAAACAAGATTGAGTCTGTCTATTATATACTTCATATACCTAAATTACATTTTGATATCCTTTGCCTTTATGTACAAAAATGTTGCAAAGTATAACTAATATATATTTTTTAATCTGTAAGTAATGAAAACAACGCCTTTAATCATAAATATTGCGGCTATAAGTTTTTGAAATAAATTCAACATGTAAACCTAGACATATACACAATAGTCGAATAGAATTTTTTCAAAGCATCCAAATAAGATTTTAGTCAAACTTTATTACTGTGCTACCGTCAATGTTTTGATCTTCTTTTTTAACATAAAAACAATAAATTTCCTAACTTCTTTATCTTTTTCCTTCTTTTCTCTTCTTTTATTTCACTTCCACACATCGATGGTACGTAGGTATATATTTTTTGCAAATTGTATCTCTCACTAATTAATCCTCGTTCCATAATTAACTGCTTGAAGTTCATTGTTTGATATAACAATACACACTAAGTTTAAGCCTTGAAAAATAATTTAATTAATTAATATAGATTGAGTATAATTGATTTATAGAAAACATCCAAGATTTATTATTTCAATAAGTTGTTTCATTACACCGCTGTTCGTTAAGTTCAATATAAAATACAAAATAAATTGATACATAATTGTTACTGGTTGAGTAATTCAATTATTAAAAGAAATTATTTTTTCTTTAAAAAGTAATATTCTATTTTTAAATGTAATAAATACTTAGGTTATATAGAATCAAATGTATTATTATAATTTCAAAGCGAAGTTATGTTAGTATTTTTGAAAATTAAAACGCGTATTTTATTTCATTGAATTTGTACAAAAATACTTTTGTTTTATATTAAATAGTATTTCAACGACATGATTTGATGGATTATGAAAGTAAATGTCACGTAGGCAATAAATAATGGAATACGATTCCATATTTTTGCATAGAAAGGCTCCAAGTCAGTCCCTGTTGGCGCCACGATGAATAAATTATACTTACAATGCGTTTTACATTACAATTACCGCGTAAACTATCGCAAATATGATAAATATTGCAAGTAATAATTGAAATTCTTGAAAAATATAAATAATTTTTAATATTATATATATATTGTTGTATATTATTTCTATATATAATATATATCTCAACTGTATATTGTGATACTGTTTAATATGAAGGGACTGTTCGTGCGGTACCACCGGAAACCGATTATATACGTGGAATACTCATTCAGTTAGGGCTGACAAATGAACACATATTTTGATTTTCCAGTTTTGTCTTTAATTTTTTAAGTAACAAATAAAATAAAACAAAAGCTTTGCCTCTTTTTCATGTCAACATTATCTTCAAAAGTTATAATTATATCCGGATGTAGTTTCAAAATTCGTGAATTTGTGAATTTTTTCAGCGTCAAAATTAAATAAAAACCTCTCTATCAAAAAAGCTACCTTGTTAAAAAAAGGCTTAAAATATTAATAAAGATTATTATATATTTTATGAATAAATGTTCGTAATAGGATTATTTTTGTGTAAGCAAATATTTTCATGAAATCGTCAACCCTAGGAACAATGCTCGCCAAAAGAAAATGTTAATCCGCTTGCGTTGCTGATTGTACACTTCGAGTCCAGTCAATAATCGGTAGCACACGCGATTTTACCAACAATTAAAATAATATTGAAGGAAAAATAGTTATAAAAAGATTATTTAATTAAAATGCTTTGTCTATTGAGAAATAATTACGTGTTGGACATGTATTAAATATTAATTTTAGTAATAAGTGGAACATTCAATAAATGTCAGTGAGTGAATATTAATAGAATACTTTAATAAATTATATGTATCTTAATGGTGACAGTTTTTACATATAGTGAAAATGGCGCCATCAAGCGGCGGCCGCGAATACTATTACATTATACCTCCAAATCACCAAATCGACTTGAAACTGATTATGATAGATTAAGCTATCCGGTAAGAGATGGCGCTGCTCAAATTTGTGTTAAAGTAATCTTTTTATTATATTAAATTTTTTCTGGTTACAGGCCGAGCCGGGTGAAACCATAGCCACAACCAAAGAAGGTAATAAAATAATTTTAAACCTATCGAAATATTATACAGCATTTAACCTTATCTTTAACTATTATTTTTGCAATAACATTGTTCATAACATAAAACTGAAAAATACCGTTGAAGCACGGAATCAGTAGTTTTAATATATAAATAGCATTGTAATATATAGTTTGCATTATAGATTTACTTTGACCTTAAAAAGAGAAAAAAAGACCAAGAATTTTGTTCGTATAATTTAATAAGCCATTGTTTTTTTAATATTTATAGAGGAATGGGTGACTCGTAAGACGAGCGAAGTTACCACAACCAGACAGATTGCTACCAGAGTTAAACGAGAACTGGTGTTGGAAGATGGAAGGATCCTCAGCGACTCCGGACCAAAGATATCTACCTCTGTCAACGAGGATACGCATACAACCAATTACCAGCAAACAGAGGTTACAAACTTAACTTTATTTCACAGGCAGTTGTTCTTACACTAAAGTAAACATCGTGTTATGAAATAAATAATTAATTTAAAAAATATTAGGAGTTTAAAGCTTGTATATGTAGGTTTTTATTATTATTAAAAACCATCCATCAGGCATCATCATTATAGGCATGGAAATTTATGCCCAGTAATAATTTGTTAAAAGTCAGTTAGGAGATGAATATTCTCATAAAAATATGTCGATATCTAATGAGATTTGTATAAAGCGTAATTCATGCTTTGATTGAAGTATTTATTGGATACTAAGTAAATAATATTTTGTTACAGCATAGAGTACCTGAAGATCAAAAAGATGATGAAAATGCAAAGCTGATCGAAGGAAACGGTGGAGTTACCATTGAAGGTATGTTTTGTGATTGCGATTTCTTAATGTACTTACGAAATAAAAAATATCATAAAGTTGGTAATGTTTTTAATAGCATAATGTATTGATTAGCAATTTCATAGAAAATAGAAAATTTATATTTAAATTTGCTTCACTCACAAATTAAATATCTGGTAGTATTTCTTATTCATGTCTAATTTGAAATGATAATAATTCTTTCAAAAGAACCAAATATAAGCATTGGGATTTGAAACAAAAATAATCTTAGTAAACTTTGTTTGAACTAGCACTAGACGAGGTTCCTGACGCGATCTCCCCTGCCGGTACTAAGGTGTTGGTCTCATCTCTTGTCGTGGCAAACCCTGAGGGAAAAGTTCGAGAGAGTCATGACCGACGTGTCCTCACCAGAAATATCACTGAGAGGGTTCGAGAGACAGAGGAGAGAATCCATCGCGGGGACACTACACATGACGTGAGTATTTTTTTGTACTAACAAAGAACTTTAGCAATTTTTAGTAGGATCGAAAGTTATTATCGTACCATTACTTATTACTTTTCAAATTAACTAAGGTCGATGTAATCGTTTTTGTTAAAAGGCTGTCTCAATAATTGTGTCATAGAAGATTGAGTTTATGGGTATTAATAAACAAATTTGTTTATACATTTTCACTATTAAGATAGATAAATTAGGAGTTTTTAAGTAACAGAGTTATATTCTGCAACAATAGGTGGAAAACAAACAAATAACTCTTGCCCCTTGATGGTAATTAAAATACCAATCACCCTGGCTAAAAGTAAAAAACATTGAAGAAAGTACTGTTATTTTATACGCTAAAAGTATAAGAATACGTATAATTAAGAGTATTTTCGAAGAACTATAATAGTCCTTCCGTACACATGGGAATATTTCGCATGGAGGTATGCTAACAAAGCTTGCATACTTTTTATGTCTATAAATTTAGTTCGCAGAATAATTTTCATCCCATCTGTTATATTTTTTTAAAATTGACAGGATATTTTGATAAAAATGCCTCCTAAAAGAGAGATCAAGTACTCTAGTTTTGTTCTATTATCATCTTTTATTTATATTTATCAATAAATAGGGTCAGCTTTTTATCTCACACACTATTTTCTCATTTTAATACCGTTTGCAAAATAATGAAAACCGCAATACAAAGGCCGTAAGTATAGTCTTAGTTCAAACAAATATTCTCAACGGCAGTACAATTTCACCGGGTATATAAATCTAAAAAGCTATCGCAATCTATAGAACACCACTTGAAGAATAATTGACAAAATTTTAAATAAACAATACAGTTAACAAAGAATGTGTTAACGAATTTAAGATAGATACAATACAATAACGAGAACACAATTATTCGATTCTTCTAACGAATTATTACCTCATTTATAATTAGCTCATCTTATTAATTCATACATTCGTTAGGAATGCATATTTATAGCATTTATGTTATTTATTTAAATTTTGAATGAGACAGCGTTTAAATATTAGCGAGGTAGCGAGACGAGGTGAAAACCAATTAAGTCTCTGTGAAACTTGTAATTTATGAAAGGAATTTGTGGCTCAAGCATATATGTACACATAATCGCTGTTACCTTTACTGTAAACGCATTCTAATCGATAAATATAAAACTATAGATTCACGATAGTATTGAAGTCTTATCAGAAGACATATTGATAGGGCGTCAAGAATCCATTCAGAGCCTTGAGCACGTTATCTCAAGCTAATGGATCCCTGGGAAGTACTGGACCTGTCCTGTCTTGATTTTTTTCTTCTTTTAGCATAAACTTTATAATATATGCCATTAAAATTATCTAGAGCCGTCAAAACATGCACTATATAAGAAACTAAATATCAGAATAATGTAAAAGAGTATTTATCTGACAAACTCTGTGAATTAAATAAATGTTCATTGAAATTACAATGTATAATGTCATGAAGGATAAAGTCTATGTGATTTCGTGAGTTCCTTAATCTTATCGGAGGTCATCTGAAGCTTTTTGAAGGTAAACTTGTTGATGATAAGGGCGCCCGCATACCGCGCTGTACCTGTTATGTCCCGATGCTATCACAAATGGCATACATTACCGTGATACCAGCTTAACATTTGCAAGTTATTAACTCATAAACTTCATAAACTGTAACATTCGATAATGTTTTCTGATAAGCAATCAAATATAATATTTTGTATCGGATTAAATGAGCACGGGAATTGAGAATGCATTTCAATATTTAATAATGCAAATATCTCGATGTGTGATCTAAAAAGGCGTATGAAATTATATTAAATTATAGGTAAACGGCGTCTTTGGTTTTTTATGAAAGGAAAGTTAGTTTTACTATTGTTTTTTGTTTAGCATTTAATTTATTATCTTGTTTTTAGTCGAACTGAACAAATATAAGAAAACAAGATTTAGATAAACGTTCATTAATAAAATCCGTCTCACAAATAATGTTTTAATAAATTATTTAATGTACATTGCAATTTAAATAAATCATTCGTGTATGTTGAAAAAATAAGTTATTTACGGCAACTCACTTTCATTCTAAACATTGAACAAAATTGTCCATCAAATAACATGTTTACATCGAGTTACAAAAGTATGGGTCGGTAAAACGGCGGCGTTTATTGAGATGAGCGTACACATAAATCGATGGGGATTTTGAAACTATAATTTGTTCAGGAACGAACCGCCGCGGGCGCGCGCCCACGTTACATTGCAACTTGCAAATGTTGAATAAAAATACGTTAATTTTATTTAAATTACTTTAGGAATGTGACTTTGAACGTTTTCGTATTGAAATTATGGGCTGACTTTTAATTTTAGACGCCATAATGAGAAGTAGTTTTAAAACAACGAACTGGATATCAGTAAATGTTTTGAAGACTTTATGATAAGTGCTAAGTGTGTATGTATGCTAATACGTGTTAAAGTTGTTTGTCTATAAACCGCTAACCTCATGACATAACGATACAATCACTTGCACAAGCTCTCGGACGATAGTATTGTTTGTTATTCGGTTTCTCATTCGATGAAGGATTTATACGAATGCAGTGAAAAGGAAAGTGAACTTAAAACGCAACAAAATAAGTACACTTATCGTGTGTTCTCCTACCTTTCTAATGAAATTAATCAATACAAAGCCTTTACAATAAAGTAAAAACAGAAAACTATTTTGATTTTTTTATACAAATTGCATATACGTGGTTTGTACAAAAAAATCAATCGATCTAGCCATTAGGTTGTGTAGTTTTTTCAAGCAATTTGTACACGCTTGCTACTTAGGCAAGTAATTTTCGACATAAAGTGTTCCAAAGATGATTGGAATAAAAATTCAAATGGAAGAAAGAAGCCTTTCAGAAGTTCAATCAGTTTTTTTAACATCTTTATATAGTTTATGGTTCTGGGAATGTTTTAATGGAAAAAGTATATCTATCCGCTTACGTTGACTTTATTGCAATTTATTTTTAAATAAAATAAACAACAATTCCACGCTAAGTTCAAATACCATGGAATGGAAGTTATAGATTTTGTCATTGGCTATTGGCTACTATCATAATTTATATTAAGTTATAATTTATATGCTATGAAGGGCGAAGTATTGAGACAATAATTTAAGAATGTTGATAATATCTACAAGGTCCGCAAGTACACAGACATACATGTGATCGCAGCCGGATCCAATCTAAGATAGCGCAACACGGAGATGCGAAAAATTATCTTCTCATTCGTGTTCATTGTCAAACTGTATTTACTATTAAGGCTAGGTTTACACTAGTGAGGGTGATATAATATCTTTATGAAATGGGTAGATCAAATCTATGTATGTAGTCTATCTGAAAGTGTCATCGCAGATATGGGTAGTAAATATGAAATTAAAGAATAAGGTATGCTTATTTGTAATTACAATATATGAGTTGCTTATATAAATATATAATAAATTAAGTCAAAAAATAATTATTAAAACCTTTTTGTTTTTATTGCTTATAATAAATCTTATACGATTTATTCAGTCCTTGATAAATATTTTGTTTTTTATTTTAAAACGATATGTTAATGAACGATTTTATGTTGAATATTGCTATATAAGATTTTCTAATATTGTCAAAATGAAGCAAATATATGTTTAAGATTTTACCGAGACCACTATATGTAAATAAGTTATTGAATTTCTTAACCTTTAACTTTGGACATACAGATTGTATCCTTACATATTATAAATGGCTTTTATTGCCTAATACGAGATTCGACCGATATTCATGTTATGTGCAAGTCAGGTTACGAAACGTATGGAAATATTCATATAAATGTGTATGGAATTGTTAATACGTATATTTTGTATGAAAGTAAATCAGTATTAATAAAAAGAGTACTGGATTGATAGTCATCGAATTTTTTCTTCATAAATAATATAACAATTACATGTCTTTTTTTAAGGAAAACATTAATTATATATATTAATTTCATTTGACATTAAAAAATATACAATAATTGATAACATTGCGTGTAAATATATAAAAAAATATCAAAGTGGTTAAAATGTTGTCATGTTATTGACCTTTCTAACATTGTCAAGTTGAAAAACCTGTTACTAATTATCGCGAATACGAGGTTTTAGCGGTAAAATCCTACAGGCGGTATTACTGAGTGCGATGGGAAAGAAACTTTATTTTATATTCCGTGTATCTCAAGCATCAGATGGAAATAAATTGAATACCACAAACGCTATAACATGAGAAATCACTTGGCCTAATGTCATTACATCAAACAGTTTGTCAATTGTCACTGACGAACTATAATATGCTCGTAAATTGCATGAATTATTTTTAAGACTTAATATTGACGTCATTTAAACTTTTAAAAGTCGTCTAATCATAACTTAATAGTGCTATATAATTTTTTTTTGTGTTTAACATATACACTTGTCTAAGTATAGAATAACAATCTTAATTATTTCATTTTTTAGTGCTTTGATATTAGCTCTCTCCGATCATAGATAAGAAATATTATTCTACTCGCGTCAACTAAGTAGTTGAAATGCTAATCGTCGTCATATATAGATACTAGCTTTTGTGAGACGATGTTAGTTCACGCGACTCTGTCCGCGTGAACATCAGAGTTGTTCTCTGACACAACCGCTATTAAATCCAAACACTTCATGGTTCTACCTGTGTGGCTTTCAAATAGGGATCTGGGTGCGGGTTAGAATTGGAACTGAAATCATGATAAAAGGTAGCCTATGTTTTCCGTCCGGGTTCCATCTATTTCGACACCAAAATTCATCAAAATCGGATCAGCGGTTAATCGGTTTCATCAAAATCGGTTCGGTGTGAAAACATAAGAGATATATTTCGCATTCACAGTCATATTTATAATATTAGTAGGGATTCTAAGATCTTAATTAAAATGAAATGATTTGAGGATTTTAAAGAATGATATTAGGTATA